TAGTTTATGTACTGTAATAAATGATATGTCAATTACCACTGCATCATTCATAAATTTTATTTATTGTGTTTATTGTCTTAACGTTTCATCAGTTCATTCTGCTTTTTATTCAGATTAGCTGCAGATATAGCCTGGCACGCATCTTAAGCTCTATGAGCGCGAGATCACTTCTCTTTCAGTGCTAAAACTTCTTTATCTCATTTTCATAAAATAAAATGCTATAGTATTTAACTTTTCCTCTCCATGGGCGAATGATGATTCTAAAGGAAAACTGTTTGCTATAGCAACGAACACTACTTTCATACATCTGATTATCAGATAAACCTTGCGCTCTTAATTATTTCAAGGTTGTTGTTAATGCTGTGGTTATTTTAACAGTTTCCTTCGTACATTCGGTTTAACGACATTGTTAAAACACATTTATCATTCATGGAACTGTGCATATGCTTTAGACACTTGCTCCGTCCATGCACTAAATGCGCAGCCTTCGACTGCTAAGGTAATGTCGTCGGTATGACCGAGAGCCATTGAAAAACTACAGAAAAGTAAAACTACTTCACTGTAGCATTATTGGCCACGAGTACTAAGGAGAGATCACACATCAGCTGCTCAAAAATGTGTCAGTGAGACGAACTGAGCGCGAGCGCAATCCTGTGACAGTCACAGGCGGAGCGCGTGAAGGAGAGACGCGAGGCACGATATGGAAGGCCAGTAGGGCCAAAAACACGTGAATTTTAACGCGTCAACAACGCGTTAAACACGTGTATTTCACGCGTAAACAACACGTATTTAACGCGTGAAAATTCAGCGCGTTAAATACGTGTATTCAACGTGTTAAATACGCGTGAAATACACGTGAAATACTCCTTAAAAATCAGTTTGAAGGGGTCAGTGTCATTGGCTGCTGAGGACTTGGGTCAAACCACTTCTGTGAGCTTAAGGGGGTGTACCATTCATAGACTAGGCACCCACCATTTAACATGCAATAGATCAGCTTATTCAGCCTAATTGTTTTGTCTTTTTTTCTTTTCTTTTTTTTTGTATAGCCTATAGAAATAATATATTGGTACACATCAGTCATACCCCGCCAAAGATCTCCCCAAAGTCTCTTGATCCTCTGGTTGTGGACACTTCTACTATGGATGGCACTTCCACTTATAGATCCACGATAAATGTTCATAAACAAACGGTATTGTTTTCTCCTCCGTGGTCACATCTAAATCAAGATGGAACCCCATACCTAGCTGTGGCTTGTACAAACTGGTTAAACACTGTGCCTGCCCTCTTGTCAGAAGCTTGCAAAAATACAACCAGTCTGCTGAAG